ATCCATCCATCCATCTATCATCCATCCATCCATCTATCATCCATCCATCATCCATCCATCCATCCATCCATCCATCCGTCACTGCGCTCACCTCTGCTAACCCGCTAACAGCAGATCTAATTTTTAGCTTAGAAGACATTTAAGTTTAAACCGAAACATTAATTTAAGCTTCAATGCTTCTGCTAACTGAAAACGTTTAGCACACCTCTGTTCTTTCATTTGTCCAGATAAATTTCAAATTGCTAATAGCAAAGCCAACTTTAGCTAACTTCAAAACTTTTAGCGCACTTAGCTTAGAGCCAAAAGCGCTAACTTCCTGGACTGTTTTGTAATCTTTCAGTTGAATCAAGTTCGTCGTATCTGTGGAAGTTTTGAATTCTTCACGATGTTAGATGTTAATATTCGTTTTCATATTTATTTAAATAAACTTTATTGAGCCAGTGGAAAGTAAACAACAAACGAATGAAAGAGACGCAGAGAAAAATCCAGCAGTATGATGAAAACACAACCAGGATATTAATTTAACATAAACATACAAACATTTACATGTATGAATTATTTTGAGCTAACGTGTTAGCTAGCCATGCTAAGTTAAGGAGCTTCTGTTGTCCAGCTTCAGTTCAGTTTGATGTTAATATCTGAAATATTTCATATTTTCTGCTGTTATCAGATATTTATCTGCAACTCTTTAAGGCCACTTTTTATTTTCTTCTTGCTGTTTCACCTGAACTCACTGCAATGTGGTCAAAATTTCTCTTTTCAGCAAATATTAAACAGAATAATTTGAGCTTAAAGTGTGTAAAAATGGAAGTTAAATATTCATGTTGAATGATCTGGTTCTGATGTGAAGCATGAAAAGCTGTGAAGATGTTTGGAGGAGGCAGGATTTTATTTTAGACGGTTACAGCGAAACAAACCAGCATCCAGGATTATTCTGCAGGTTGTGGGTTTGATCCCCAGACCTCCAAATATTTACAAAATAAAACCGCAAAGAGAAATAATGATTAAATAAAAATATTTGACATATGACTGACCGACTTCAACAGAGGTCCAGCCAGTCGGCGCTGGTAATGTCCCAGTGAGTGCAGCTGGTTCTGGTTCTGGAAGGTCCATTCAGAACCAGTGAACTCCACAGCGAAACGTTCAGGCCTTTAGGGAAGAGAAAACATTTTGGAAGAGAAAATATTTACTTTACAGCAAGAAAACCCAAAGCATCCAGCCGAAGCTACACACAGATGGAGGTTCTGGAGTGGCCTAGTCAAAGCCCAGGACTGTTCACAACCTGACAGAGCTGGGGGAGTTTAGCAGGAAGAACGGAGGAAACTGAGCAGATCGACTGAAGCGATCCACAGAATGGACCCACTTATTTTATGTTTCATATTTTATTTAACGGTCATTGTTTTCTAGAAATCAGTTTTCAGTTAGAGATTAAAGTTTGTTTTGATTAATTTTTAAAAGCAATAAAAGGATCTGGGGTGTGAATACTTTCTACAGGTTCTGTCGACGTTTCCTCATCTTTTGCTTTACAAACTGGTTTCAGTGATTCTCTGTGATTTTCCCAGCAGCTCAGCCTTTATGCTGATGATGCTGTTTTATTCTTTGAAGGAAATTCCTCTTTTTACAGGTGAAAACTGAAAACCTCTGAGTTCAAAAACAGTCGTGATTAAAAGTCAATGCATGTTTTCAACCTTTGACCTTTGACAGAAAACAGAAAAATTACTCAATAGGTCAATAAAATCTGTTGTGTTAAATTAGACGAATTCATTCCTAATCAAAGTGAGAGACGGTGTTTTAAATCGTTTTGTCTCACTTCCTGTGTTGCAGACGGTGTTTTAAATCGTGTCGTTTCTCTCAGTTCCTGTGTTGCAGACGGTGCTGGTCGGTGCCGGTGAATGTGACTCGGTGTTTAAAGGTTTCTCAAACTGTCTGATTCGGTTGGGGGACGAAATGGCCAACTACCCCCAGGACCTGGACGACAGAGAGAGCCTGAACAAGATCTGCACGTAAGTTCAACTCAAACACAGGAGTCAGAGTCCAGCGCGGCGGGGCGTCTCACTGAAACATGAACCAAAAATACTTCACACATTTTAAAAGTTCACTCAGACTGTCACCACCAGTCAGATGGAAACAAAGACTCAGTTCCTGAAGGCCTTCAGATCGACTTCCTGTTTGGAGGCGTCATTGATCGATTCATTAAACTGTTTGACACTGAAGTGAAAAGGCAGAAAAGGTAAAAACCAGAAACACCTTAAAGGAGCTGCTGCCGCTTCATTTACGCTTTAAATCTCTGATCTACAGATTTCAGTTTAAAAAACATTTTAAATGAGATTCTGACGTCAGAATAAAGTGATCAGATTTTTATAGTTATTACATAGAGACGCTTCAGATGAAACAATACGAGAGACTGAACCACGGGGGGGCAGGGGGGGCAGGGGGGGCAGGGGGGCACCAGATGGCAAACTGCCCCCCCAGTGACACAAACACATGATTTTTAGTGACGGCTCCATCATAGCGTGTTGAGGCGTGGCAGGAGGAGGGAGGGAGTGTGTGAGGGGGGTGTTAGTACGCCCCCTCACACACACACCGACACACACACCGACACACACGCGTTAATTGCTCTGAGATGTATCTTGGACACGGCTCGGGTCAGCAGGTCAACATCAATAAGAGCAGATTGGAAGATTGGATTAGATACGCTGTGTGTGTGTGTGTGTGTGTGTGTGTGTGTGTGTGTGTGTGTCAGCACGCGTCGCTCAGTCGGCTGGTGTCGCATTTACATGAACTGCGCGGCGGAAAGCGATGAAGAGGAGATGATTAAAAAGGAGGAAGACAAAGAAATGCAGCAGAAAATATGAAGGCAGATTAATAGGAGGCAGAAAATGAGGCCAAAGAGTAAAAATATATTTAGACGGGAAACAGTGAGGCGGACGGCTGAGTATGAATAAAACATTAAACCAAGAGAGACGAGGAGATCAGAGGAGGAGAACAGGAAACCATCAAAGAAAAAACAGAGAAACTAATTTTTATCCCGAGTTTGTTACTCGACTCTGGATTTAATCCACATGTGAACCAACGACGGGATTTAAACCAACTGGATTACAAGCAGGTGAAACGTCTTGAACGGCCACCAGGGGGCGAAAGTACCGGAGCGTCCGGCAGTCAGACCATGGATGTTTTATCAGGTTGGGCCTGCAGGGGGCGCTGTGGCGTAGCACAGTCTGAGGGGCGTCACTTACTTACCCTAACCCTGACCCTGACCTCTGACCCTGAAAGCTGTTCGGACTGAACTGAGCTGCTCTACGATCTCGGTTCCAACTCAGATTATAAGGTTAATCTGAGTTTATGAGACGTAAAAACCAACAATTAGCTTCTTAACGTGATTTTCACCAAAGTTATTTAGTTTGTTGCAGATCAGAATATTTTTTCCTCAATTTCAACTTTGCTGTAAATCGTCAGTCATCAGCGCAGAATAAATCAGTCCAGGTTTTCATCCATAGAGCTGCAGTTTTCCAACACTGAAGTTATTTTTCACTAAAAATTTCATTGTAGGACAGAATAATCTGGAATATCGAACCAGAATAATCAGGTTCTGATTCACATGCCGAGGTTTTTATGTGTTTATTTTTCACTTCCAACAGAAAGTCCAGTGGACGATGTTTTGTTGCCATGTTTGTTTACTCCGACCTCCCGTTTGGTCTGCAGCGGTTTGGGAAGATTTCCCGTCTGAATGATGAGTAAAATCTGGACCAAACATGTTACATCTACGATGTTTTATCGTAAAATCGAGTTTTAAAATGTTTCCGTGTGAACGAGGCATCAGGGAGGAAACAGGAAACAGAACTGGACTCAGCAACAACAAGCCGAGACGATTCTCCTGTTCTGTTAGGATGATTATAAATGTTCACCAAACCATGAATGGTTCCGTAATCTGACCAGTAAGGAGTGACTGGTGTGGACACTCTGACCAGTCTCCAGTGTTTGGTTTAGTTTTTCTTTCTGAAATGTTTCATTTAAAGCGTTTAAAGTGGCGGCGCTGATCCAGTCAGACGGGAATCATCAAGGCTTTACTATCAGGATCTCATTAAAGGCCGAGTTCAAACAGATTAGACCTGAATTATTCATGTTTATGGTTCACAGATTAAATATTCTCAGCTGAAGTCGCAGCTGCCAATGTGAACTAGTTCACTCATCAATATTTCATTAGGTGAAGGTTCCTAAAATATTTTAAATGTTGGAAGATGAGGTCGTCATGTTCGCTCAGTTTCTGTTTGAAGGCAATAAAGTTTCACCAAAACGGCTTTTATTTAAGATTAAACTAAAGAAATTCAGTCTGAGAAGGAATTTAATTTATTTTAATTGTCTTGTACCAAACAGACCCAGGATGAAGCAGATACAGAGACTGTAGTTTATTTTTGGCGAAGGTTGAGTCTTCTCAGTAATGTGGATAATAATGTTAGTAGATTGTAATATTTATGAAGCGCCTCCTGCATTCATGGCTCTTTAAAACACAGCAGCTCTCTGCTGCTCAGTCTCTGAGGCGAAATGTGTTTCTGTGCTGAAGGGAAACTCTGGAGTTTGTTGGACTCCAGTAACTCCATGGAGTCCAGAAGGTTTTTCATTGCCAGGTTTTGGATGGGCCACCAGCCTGGGCTCGGCCTCCCACTCCAGTCACAAAGCCCGCGGTGCTAATCGTTTCTGTCTTCTCTCGCCAGTTACTGGGATAACTTCCATTCCTGTGCCACGACGGCGCTGGCCGACTGCCAGGAGGGGGCGACGGACCTCTGGGAGAAACTGAAAAAGGAGTCCCGCAACCTGAATTTCCGTGGGAGTTTGTTTGAACTGTGTGGCGGCGGAAACGGCGCGCCCAGATCCGCCAGGGGCCTCGGCTTGCTGCTCACCGCCCTGCCCACCGTACTGACTTGGCTGGCGTTTTAACAGGAAGGAGAAGCTAAAGAAATAAAACACAAGAAAATACGTCCAACTGATAAAAAAAATAGTTAAGAAGCAGAGTGAAAGCTACGCCTCCATACTGAAAAACACGACAGAGTTTGCATTCATCAGAAGAAAACAGCAGAATTGGATCTTTGGTGGAACTACGGCAGCCTGGTTGGCCTGCGGGAGAGCTCGTCCAATCACACGCCACCTCGCCCAGAGGTCAATAACATGAAATATTCAACACGCCATTGACCTGAAATGAAGACAATGATGAAATTTTGATGGATACTCGCCAACTTACAATTGTGGAATTACATAGTATTAAAGTCAGCCATGCATTATTGATGTTGAGTCGGCCGAGCCGGCCGGGCGCTGACACGCCATCAGGACGGATAGGAGGGCTGCCATTTAGCCGGAGGTACTAATTCATGTGTAATGCAAGACCAAGTGTAACTCCACTAAATCAATAAGACAAGCCGAGGCATCGAGCCGCTCCAGAGCCGTCGCCTCGGTTCCACCGCGGACTGCTTCTCATTTTTAACGGCAGCAGGTTGACACGGGATGCTAGCCAGTTAGCCCGGTGTTAGCTATGCTAGCGGTTACCGCGCAGAGGCTGCGGTCACACCAGCTGTCAGAACAGGTCACGGCTACATAATTACAGGCAGCAGTGGGGACAGTATTCACCTTTGACCTGAGCAGCATTCCATTATTAGACCAACACTTTACTGAATTTACGTTAAAATAAACATGTTGCATTTGGTAAAACCACTTTATGATGCCAGTTCAGTAAAACTCATTCTGGGGGTTCTGGTGTGACCACGGCCGCTTGGCATAAGGTTTGGAGACATAACAGATCAGCTAAGAAAGTCCCAGCATTTCAGGAAATGGGCATAAGACTTTAAAATGATCATATTCACATAATTTATGATGAGAAAACTGAAGGTAAAGTTAATTTTGTATAAGATCAACTCAGCTAGCCAGAGCTAAATGTTGCTAAAGTTTGTCTGGAGTAAGTAATGGTTAGCTTGAGTAGCATTTGTTTTATTAAACTTTATTGTAGCTACGATGCAATTTATCAACAATCTGACATTAAAGCAGATTCAGAGAAAACATTTCACATTTTGAGACAAATGTACTAGCATCTAAACCTGATGCTGTCATTTTATCGTGAAAGTTTGGTTCACAACTTAGCAAACATTAGCTTAAATATTAAATCACAAAGTAAACCTGAAAAGGCCACGTTAGCTAAGGCTTTAGATCATCAGTTCAAACGGCTCACTAGTTTACTGAACTGATGAGACCTGAGGAACAACTAGTTTATCTTAGGCTAACAACAGTTAGCAGCTAAATCAGGTAGCATACATTCAGAGAAGCATAGGGAATTTTAGTTCAATCAGATAATATATCAACCAAATTATAGCTGGGTTAGCTAACTTCTGATTAAAGAAAAAAAATACCCATGTGTTTTCTGGTTGGCTAACAGCTAGTTAGCAGCTAAATCAGGTGTATTTTGATCAGCTAAGTATATCAGACTACCTACATCCAGATGATTCAGATTAAAGATTTGTCTAGATTAGCCTGGATTAAATAACATTCTGAACTACATATAAACCAAACTGGAATATTTGGTCATGTTAACCTAAATTTAAAATAAGATGGTTTGCTTAAAATTTGATCAAACGGATAAATTAAACTTTTAGGTTTTGTGAGGTTAGCTAACAGTTTCACTTAGCATCTACATCAAATGAGTTTAGATTTGTCAAAAATATGTGGGACAAACTAAATCTATGTTTCCAGGTTGGATTAAACTTAGTCCTGATAAGGCTGGATTGATAAGTATTTATGATATTGATCTATAATACACAATAGATTTATATTTACGCTAGCCACAGAGACTCCTGCTAACAACTATCCTGTTAGCTAACTTGTGTACATTAACATTTAACTCGTCTACTTTATTAATTTTTATTGTCCCTTTTAAATGAACAAACATGAAATATTTGTAATATTTTGGAAACCAAACTGTTAAATTGGGTCAAGGTAACTGAAAGTTTGGATTAGCATGAAATTGTATTGTAGCCTATTAGCTAACAGTTTAATGTTAGCATTAAATCAGATATGAAACGATATGGGAGAGATTAGGTTTTAATTAACATCTTAGCTAATTTATGTTGTGTCATTTCAAATCATATATTCAAATTATTTAAGTTATTAAATAAGCTAACATTTTGATTTTGTATTAATTTAGGGGAGAGTTACATCAGATTAATTAGCATCTCATCATTTTCAACATTGTTTTTTTACCCTTAGCTTCAGTTTTTTTGCAGTTTCAGCAAACAAGCAATAAGATAATTTTCCCAACTCAATAAAAATCAAACTTTGGGAAATTTTGAGGCTTCCATGTTTAGACATTGTGCTCATTTCCTGAAATCCCATCAGATCCAAACTGAACAAAAACAGAGAAACCTGATTTGAACGTGGAGGTTTGGTTTTATTTTGTGTTTATTTCCTGTCTGTTGAAACATCAGGAGCAGCAATACGAAGAGAGACGTTCCGGCCAGCGTAGCTAAAAATATGAATAATAAACAAACCGTGGCTGAAGAGAGATATGACTGTTGCCATTTAGCTTCATCCCGTTTTCATCCAGTGATTTTAGTAGATTATCAGCGGTGACATATTTTAGGTCTGTGTTAGAATAAAGAGGAAAGTCCAACAGTAAAGTAGCATCATGAAATACAGACATTATAAATATTAGGAGTTTATTTCTGAGACAGAAACATTTCCACTGCCTTCTAACTAAACAATGTGAACTTCTGTTTGTTTGTTTGTTTGTTGCTTGGCTGGTTTGTCTCTTTGTTTGTTTATGAGGAAGTTACATAAAAAACGTTTAAAAAGATTGATTTATATCAAAAATCATATATGAAGAGAAAATGTAAAGGAAAAGGATTTTTGAGAAAAAAAATGAAAATATTTATTATTAGAGGTAGTCTATCCCAAACAGGTTTAACAGCAGATTGATTATTTACAGATTATATAGACCTAAAGAAAGATAAAATAAACAACTGAGAAAATGATGAAGAATAACAAATAAAAGTCATAATGTTTGAAAAAACCCTGTGTGTGACTTTAATTTGGACTGGAGGAGAAGAAAGACTGATTTAATATTAATGAGGGGAAATCCCAGAGGATGAGGCTCATATGACCGAGGAAGAGGAAGGTGATGAAGGCTGCTGAGGTTCTGATGTCTGGTGGAACTGTTGAAGCTTTTTGGCTTAAATTTATTCGAGAATTTGAACCAAAATCTGTAAAAACTTAAAAAATAAAATCAAAAATTAATCAGGAACCAAAACCTTTATGATAATATTTTGTGTTTTTTATTGTGATCATGATAAACATGATCATTAATTTGTATTTGCAGAGTTGTGGTGGCTTTTCTAGACTAATTTTATTGTTTAAATACCAGATTTCTGATGCTAAAGTCACACAAATACAAATATTATTATTAAAAATGTATTAATTTGATAAAAAAAATCTCCATCAGGACAGTAGTTGCATAAAAATGTGAATTTTAAAACTAAATATGCAAACAGGAACTGAGTTTAATCTTCTGCTTTTGAATGTATTAATATTTATAGATGCTCTGATGGAAACGGCACAATAAATGACTCCGACGTCATTTATTGTGATTTATGGTTGTCATTATTACTAAGACTTTAGCTGCAGCAAAAAACAAAATAATTAATAAATCTCTAATATGTTAAAGTTGAAACCCAGTGACAGACTGAGAAAGATTTTAAAGCATCTTATTAAAATTTGATGTTCAGAGAAAAACGTTACGCTGCGGTTGGAAATGCTAAAAATAAAAACCTCTTTAATTCATTTTTTACAGTGTTCTAGTTATTTATAACAGGAAAATAGAAAAACTGTCGACTCAAAGAAACAGATTATATGGAAATTATTCCTTTTATAAAAAACAGTTTCAGTGGCGACTGAAGCGACGCAGGATATGAATTTAAATGAATCTCCTAAAGTTTTAATAAAAATCAGAACCAGAGAAGAAGATCAAGATGGCGGTGCCTTCCAAACAGATCAGGGGTCAAAGGTCATCCATAAATGCTCACAGGAAGGATAAACTCTGCAGAAGCTCTGCTGCATTTCTGGAGTTAAACTGGATTTTCTGGCCTTGATGATAATTTATAACCTCGTTAGTGAATATAAAACTAGAAATAAACATTTACATTTTCAATCTTCGTCTTCGTCCATCAGGAAGTCCTGATGGTTTAGAAATGTACCTTTGGATGCTAACATTAGCAGTAGCTGCTACATGTTAGCATTCAGATGCTATTTTAGGCTAGCATAGCTTCACTGATAGGCTAACTGCTTTTAGCACAACTTGAACACAACAACAGTCTTTTCCAGCGTCCATTTTCAGGACATCAAAAAACATTAATTTATTACCAAATAAGAGCTGGGACTTTTTTAAGTGTTTAGTTTGTTTTTAGAATCAGTAGAGAAACAAAGAAAAATAGAAAATCATGTAATTTTTTTTTTCTGAATACGTCGCTTTAACAGAAACAGTGACATCACTTCCTGATTGATCAGCAATCAGAAGCTTTTAGACAAATTTACTGCAAACTTCTAACTACAGATGATCAGAAGAGAAATGAGTCATGAACTGATCTGGAGTTAATCTGGAATTAATCTAAAGTTAATCTCTACTTAATCTGGAGTTAATCTGAAGTTAATCTCTACTTAATCTGGAATTAATCTAAAATTAATCTCTAGTTAATCTGGAGTTAATCTAGAATTAATCTAAAATTAATCTCTAGTTAATCTGGGGTTAATCTGAAGTTAATCTGGAATTAATCTAAAGTTAATCTCTAGTTAATCTGAAGTTTTTTCGTTTCTCCTGATGGTTTATTCCTGACTTTCCTCCTCTTGGAACAATCAGAGGTTGTTGTTAATCAGGTCAGTGGCGTTGATTCGACCTGAAAGCATCAATGAGTCGATCAATACGTCTGATCGATGCCATCGGTCGCCATGGCAGCAGGATGAAAGTGACTGGAACATTTTGATCGTCTCACCTCGGCCTTCCTCAGCGGGTCAGTTCCTTCTCCAGTCGGCCGGCGGGTCGGCCGGTGGCGTGGGAGGAGACTGCAGGAGGTTTATTACAGTATTAACTGATGAACACATGAATATGAATCAGTTATGTTTGCTGATGGAGAATGACTCACAGTTAGCATGTTGGACTAATCAGTCCATAAATGCTGATGATCAGGTTTTATTAGCTAAAAATAATCAATAAAAATAAAACCAAGACGAGCGTTTCTGTCACGTTCAAATGTTCAAGTTATTGGAGAATTTATGAGACATAAAACTGTTGATTGAATGAAACCGATTCCTGATTTCAGAAAGAGGAAAAATGTTTTTACTGCTATTTAATAAATTAGAATATTCAGATGATTAAAAACACTGAAGATAAAACCAGCTGTTACATTTACCTTAAAATGTTTTTAACAGTCTGATGAAATAAAACTTAAATGTCATTTTATTGATTTTAAGTGGAAAATCATCATAATTAACATAAAGGCTTGAAAACATCAATCAGTGTGTAATTAACCTATATTTTAATGAGTCATAAAGTTCCTGAAATAAACTTACCAATCTGATCCCTGATCAGTTTTTTATTATTTTAATATTTCTCTGTTGCTCTCAGAGTTCAGCTGTGAAGAACAAATATCTGGATTTTTACTGAAAACAAAAACACAAATCAGCAGCTAAAATGTTTTCCTCAACCTGAGAGGAAAAAAAAATAATTGAATTTCATAAATATTGACAAACATGAACCAAATTTGAACCAATAATAAAACATCCAGTAAGAACTGATTGTTTTTGTGATGAAATCTGAGCAGCTGCAGGAAAAACCTCAGAAAAAAAAAACTCAGAACAAAAACCTGGAAAATGAAGCGAGAAAAAAAAACCGTCTTGAATTTTCGCCTGTGGAAACGAGAGCAGACCGGACCGACGCTCATTACAGATGCATTCTGGGAAGTCTGCCGGGACGCAGGACGTCCCGTGGGACGCAGACCCGCTTTCTGAGAGACCGCATCGGGTTCAGCTGAGCCGGATCAGGGGGGATCAAGCTGCGGCTACGGGGCCAGATGGGGCCTCACATGAACCTCCAGGGAGCCGAGATTAAAGATTCATAAAGGAGAAGAAAGAAAAGAAACAAAAAACCAAGAAGAGAAGAAATGAAGCAGAGCAATGATAAAGAGAAAAATATGAAAACAAAAAGGAAAAATGAGGCAAAAAAACAAACATTTATATAAACAGAGGAAAGAAAAACACAAATAAAAATCAATAAACACAGAGGAAAATTATGATCATAAAATAAATAAAATCACTAAAAGACAAAAAATTCCCTAAATATTCAGAAGACAATAAACAGACAAAACTACAGAGAAAAACAGAAACACCATAAAAAGATTCAACATGAACAAAAAATACAGAAAATCATCAAGAACAGAAAAACTGCAGCGACCCTGACCCCTGACCTTTAACCCCTGACCCACCAGACGATCAAAAACCAGAAAAACCAACAAACTGAAACCAGACACAAAAATACAAATATGATTAAAAACAACAGAATGTGAAACACAAGATAATAGTAATAAACAACAGAAGGCCTTAATGACCCTGATATGTTAAAATATATAGTTACCAACATAAAAGTCACTAAACACAGTAAACAGAAAATTAAGAAGAAAACAAAACAGTTACAAAATCATCTAAAAAAACAACAACTGACTTTTTACAACAAAAACCTGAAGAAAACCAACAGAACAGGTGGAAGAACATGATCAGCCCAGTTCTCCCAGTTCTCTCAGTCAATTAAACTGGAACTTTGGATCAAGTCATTGTCTGTTTGACATGAATATCATGTTCATGTCTGTAAACACGTTGAACCAGAATCATCTCACTGAGGACCAGAATAAACCAGAGGCTCTTCAGAAACCAGATCCGGTTCCTTCCGCTGCTCAGAAATGATCAGTTTCTGAGATCCTGCAGCAGAACCGAGCAGAACTGGGTCATTACGGCCGGGTCTCGGAGGGTTCTGCAGCCCGGCATGTGGCGCTCTATTGATAGCTCTGCAGAGAGCAGAAATAAACTGGCAAACAAACACAAGCGGCAGCAGCGGCGGCGGCGGCCAGCTGGCAGCCGGCGGAGGAACCGTTCCCCGAAAGCAAACCGCGGCTCCGGATCCGGATCCCCCGCGACCCGGTCCGGCGCTCAGAGAGGAGTTTCCGCTTCCCTTCACCAGACATTCGATGTTCACTGAGCCTGTTGGCACCGAAACACAGAGAAATAAACTACAGAAACAGAGAAATAAACTACAGGACAAACAAACTACAGTCGCAGGGACAAGGTGGTTCCGCTTCTGTTTGTTACGGTGGCCGACAGGTGCAAATGCGCAGCAACAGAGAAAACATGCAAACAAAAAAAGAGACGCAAACAAATTAAATGCAGCAAACAAGAAGAGATGACGCAAACAAAAAACAAGCAAACAAAAATGAGACGCAAACAAAAGTCCCTCCTGCTTTGCTCGACCAAAACAGCAGAAGATGCCTCAGCACTGGGATGTTGTTGATCAGATCGACGGACTATTGACGTGAGGGCTCGACAGACAACTTTTCGCAAGTAAGATGGACATAATATTGTGTATATTTTGTGATTAGAATATTACTTTACTGTATTTATGTCCATTGGCGAGATACCAGCTAATGCTAGCTGGTATAGAGCTACAGTGCTTGGTGTTCAGCCCCCGCTCTGAAAGCTAACCGAGATTATCTTAAAAAGTTTATTCTCTAACATTGACTTAGATTATAGAGCCTACTATAGAAATGAAACAATATAATATATATTATAAAAATCATAATATTACATGTTGTAACATTCACCAGCAAAGTTTACACAGGTGGCAATGGCTATTATTTATTTATTTCACTCTGTCAAAGTAAGATACCTCCCAAATCTCCCATTTTTGTTTTGTAGGTTTCCTAAAGACACGGTGTGAGGAAGAAGGGAGAAATGTCT